TTTAGCAGGAAAATAATTTAAACGTCTGTAATGCTACAGAGTTAATTGATCTTACAGTTTTACCAACAGTCCCTAATTAAAGCATCTACAACTAAGTTAACATATATGCTATATCTACTTTGCCTTCATCAAGTCTTTCAAAAATAAAAGCATTCAATCAAGTTTCCATAGAAAGAGCAATAATATATTTGGCTTATATTTCAGTAGTTTATATAATTTTTAATTAAATTATACAATTACAATAGTTAAGTATAAACTGGCCTGGTAACCACAATTGGTGGACATTAGTTGGTATTTTTAACAGAGAGACCAGAGCTCTGGTTAACCAAGTAAGTTAGTTAAGGTCAGGTCAATGAAGACAATTTCTTCTATGGTTTCATTTAAGAACCTGAAGGGTGTTCTGCCTTCACTGTCAATGCTAGTTTTGTTTAGTTACTTTGGAAGCTTCTCCCACTTAGCTTATCTTTGTGAAAAGATAGTGGAAAAAGTTATTCACAAGTTTTTCTTTCTCACTTCCCTACTGTGGTTTTTAAGCTGAATGAATTAGCTTCTGGGCAAATCATTACTTTAAGAAAAATGAAAGTTATGTAATCCGAAGCAAAGAGAGGAGGGAAACTTCTTTCCATGAGATGAAAATGGTCAATAAATTAAGGAAATTATTTCTAATAGACTTGCAAATAATTTAGGTATTTCTTCAATAATAAGATCCTCTGTGTTTTGCAAATGCTGTACTTTATTTCTTTAAGAAGTAACATTTTTAGAAAACATAATTGAACATGTTAAATTACACAATGCTTAGGACATGCAACAGTTTGTCCACAATCAAAAGAATTTTTTTATTCTGAATGCTTTACTATGTAAATGATAAAGAAGGGAAGGAAATAAGTTTAAAAGCCCTGAATGCAGAGGGCCCCTACTATATAGCTAAAAAACATTATATAACCTGGACGATGTTCTATCGTTTTGACTTGGAGTTTTATCCTGTGGTTTTTCTACAATTAACTGTCTTTTGTAGCACTGACACCAACCGTCAAATCTCTCTCATTGGTTGGCCACTGACACGTCTCAAAGATACGTCAAAGACTCAAACTTTGCATGTTCTCACTTCAAAGACAGTAAGGATTTGGCCTCACAGCTATTAAATGAAGCCAGGAAGCAACAGCAAGAGCTTGACAGACAGATGAGCTCATCTTCACTGCTATCCCTATAGCCAAAAGAAAAATTTTTCTCCAGTACTTGCTTTTGTCAACAGTAATGAAAAGAACTCAGAAAAAGATGATTAAACCTTGAAAAACTAAGCCTTTTAAATATTTGGGGACTTCAGACTTAGATCATCCAACTTCTCGTTTCTGCTCTTTTGTATACCTTCCAATTGCTTTGCTATACCAGTCAATGTAAAATCAATTTGAGACTTTGTTGAAGGATGTTCAGCTATTAACATCTGAATGTGTCGGAGTTCAGAACAATAGGTGAGAATCTTCAAAGCAACGGCAACTGCAGCTGCAGAAGTCTGTGGTCCAAGTGCCCTCAGTGTAATATCACTTTCCAACCACAGTTTCTGCCACACTGCCCCAGCAAAGCATTGTATAAATGTGTTCATGTTTGACCATAAACTCAAAGGAACAGGATATAGATACAGGATGAACAACCAAAATATTTTTCTGCAGTAAGATTCTTTTTCCTTAATTCCCTTTTAACTCACAAGAAGGGATAATGATAGTTCTTCAGTCTGGCCCTCAACAACCAGGACCCATGATAAACTCAAGAGATGTGCTCAAGGTATAGCGGAGAAGAAAACACTGAAAGAAATTTAGGTAAGAAGGTAATACATGAACTTCAGCACTGATCAAGCAGGAGTAGCGTAGAGTCCCCTGGGCTTACTAGTACGATCACGTTATACCAACAAAGAGAGCAGTTCATCAGCACCCGCTGGAACGCAACTGTATCTCTGATGATGCCTTTGAGGCTACACTATATTTGATACAGCTTATGTACATAAAAATGATTTATTCAGTGTTTTTCAGTTTCTATTAACAGTGTCAGCTATCTTTTAAGGGAATGACTAAAAACCTTTTCAGAAGGAAGAGTATTTAGAAGTATTAGATGCCATAACTCAACCATTATTCTTGAGAAATACAGCAGCACTACCTGAAAAATAAAAATGAGTTCCAAACTAACTGCCATTTTTCTAAGCAAAAGTATAGATAAGAAGCCTGGCCATGATAAAATGTGGGTTTTAATAAATGTTGAAAAATATCACAAAGTATGTATTTTCAAATTAGGGTAATTATTTTCTGCTTTTTAATCAGGATAGTGAGAAAAATGCATGAGAAAATTCAGAAGGCTAGTAGACTTTTCAACTATCCAAAAATCTAGGCAAAAAATGAATGTGCCAAAATTTTGATCTGAAATGATTTGAGATTTATTGTCAAAGAGGGACTATTTTAAATTAGAATTAAGAATACTGAAATACAGCCCATAGAATATTGGCATTGTCCTGGCTTAATAAGGATTTTGTAATATTAACGCTTGTCCTGATTATGAAAAAGAAAAATTCATTTATGTTATATTTCAAAACAGGTGGGTATATCTGGATGAAAAGCGTTATTTCCTGGAAATTTTTACATTTACAATAAACATTTACATCATTAAGTTTACCAGCACTTTTTAACCTTGTTTAATACATTCAGTATTAATATTGAGTCCTTCCTGAATGTCGAGCACCGTGCTAGGTAGGTACTGAAGATACAAAAACAAAAAACAAAAAGAGTAAGGGTCATCAAGGGCTCTCTCAAGGCAGGTGTGTAGTGGTCAGTCTACTGGCTCTGGATGCAGTACTTATTAATCATATAACATGCCTCATGTGTTTCCAGAAGCTCGATCTAATGAGTGTATAAAATATAAATGGCTCACGAGGGTATGTATGTCTGATTACAACTACAGCTATTACAAGTATGTAATATAGCAGTATGTTTATTTCCTCAGTATGCTGTTTGGAACCATTGCTCCTTCCAATTTAGCATGCTGTCTTCAAACATGACTCCCCTCCATGGGACAAGAGGCCAATAGGAATAAATCATCCTTATTTCTAAGAGCACTTTATAAAAATTTAGGTAAAGAACAATTCCTAAAGCTAATTATCCTTCTCTCACAATTATTATAAAAACTGCAATTGTTGACAGACTATTTTGGAAGAACATGTGTCTTCTGCAGAAGCTTAATGCCTTATACCTTTTATTTATTTGTTTTAATTAATTACTTAAGGAAGGAGTACTTTCAAGATTTCAAGAAGCCAAACTTGTAGCTTCTGATAGAAGATTCAATCTGAAGAGAATGGTTTACTCTGGTGACAAGGAGAAAGGCAAGCTGTTGAAGCAGAAGAATCATGAGAAGACTTTTCAAGCACCATTCTTTGTTTTCTAAAGGAAGGTAGGGGCTGGGAGGCGGGGTGGCTATGCTGTTTTTCAAAAAGTCTCACTCTGTTGCTGCTTTAAAGGTCTGACTCCCAAGGCTTACCTACTCAATGACAGAGAAAAAGGAATCATTCTGATTTTCTTCTTATACACAATGGTATTCCTTTAAATCAGTAGTGTTTTAATTACCTTGAAATATACAAATCCTTCACTCCCTTTTATGTTCAAGGGAAAACATTTTAGCAGAAATCAAGATTATCTTTAAAAATCTATCAAGCTAGATATTGAATTATTCCTTTGATTTATGGCCTTAACAGTTTGCATATTTGCTAGAAGCACTGTTCGTTATGACTCTACAAAAATGAAGTGTGTAAAGTAGTGCAGGGGTTCATTATTGCTGATCAGCAACTGGAAAGCTAGAGTCCCTTCTTCCTTGCTAACCACATGATAATTCTCAGGATAATCAGGGGCATAATTTTGCTGGCACATAGTGTTTGTTTTTGCTGTGATTTTTTTAATAGGAAAAAGAAGAATTTATGGTAAAATATTATCTCTTATTTTTCTACTTAGCGGCACCAGATTTCACAGGCAATCTTAGTCAAATATATAGGATTTCTTTGTTTCCAAGGGTTATATGTACAATGGACACTGAAATTCTTGAAAATGTCAGAAACATGTCTTTCCTTTTTTGTACTGTAGCAATGAGGAAGTGCTCCCTGTGCATCTGTTAAAGAGAGAAACAGCCTCAACATATGGCTTAGCAGTGAGTATATAGATGGAATGAAGATCAACCCATCCATATTAAATCACCAAATAGTATTAGTAGTTAACAAGACAATTCCTCCATATTCTGTTTTTTAATTCATAACCAACGGTAATCCTGTTAGACCAGACAAATGAATGCTCAGCTGCCACTTAATTGTTAATGACACAAAAGAATATAGGGCATTCAGCAATCATATTCTTAATAATTTTCAATGTATACTTTAATAAGTAGTGACATTTTCAGCCCACGGATTCAAAACAATTTGATGGAATTTGCCAAGGGTTATAATTTTGTTGTCATATCTTTTTGCTCTTAGGGAAAGGGCTTTCCATCTAAACCCCAGGCATTGGTTTGAATCCCTGTGGACTCAAGCATATGTTCAAGGGATTCATAGTCTATTCTTCTTGAGTAATTTAGATAATCACATGAAACAAATTCCTCTTCGATGCCAACTGTGTTCTCCTATAGGTTTACAGGGTATATGATGCCACAAGATGGAACAGGCAATAATCAAGACACACTAACCACATGAAATTTTAAGTTCCCATCTTTAGGGCAAAAATATTAAATTACCTATTTTACTCAAAGAGTCATTCGGTTTCTTTAAATGTCCCTTAAAATTCTTTTATTATTTTTTTATATGCCAATAACAGAAGAGTTGACAATCTCTACTTATGAAGATCATAACATCCATCACATATATCCCACAAAACTCAAATATCACCAAATCAAATATTCTATAGCACAACATAAAAATCTCATGTTTCCTTTTTACCACTTGGCATAGATATTACTAAGGCATTGATTTTTCCCAGTCTAAGGACATTAAAGGTCAATAACTTTGTGACATTAGTATTTTGTCAATAATAGCAATGCTCTACTCGTGTTTTTCTACATATTGCCACAATCCTTAAAATAAGAATAAAAGCCAGAACAAAATCTTTTATATCTCAAAAGAAAGGACAGTAAATTATTTAAAATGCAAAGATTAAAGCAAAGAAACTTAGATAGAAAACATGCCCTATTTTAAGCTCCAACTTTAGTTCATACTAATTTGCAGCATGAACTAAAATGCAAACTGAAGCATTTAATCAATTCTTGTGCTTATGGCTTCTCATTCCCAGCCACTTTCCTCCTGTTTCTACTTGGGTGCTGTCTAGCTTCTGGCATTCCACACCAATAGTTCCAAGAAGGTCTGCCTCTCAGTATCTTTCTTTCTTAGGGGTACAGCCTGTTTCTTCAGCCCATTTGGATCCCATTTTCTTTTTAGATACACAAAACAAAACTGAAAGCATTTCCTTTGTTCATAATATACCGAGAGAGAGAGAGACAGAGAGAGAGACAGAGAGAGAGAGACACATACTCTCTCTCTCTCTCTCTCTCTGTCTCTCTCTCTCCCCCCAGGCTGGAATGCAATGGCATGATCTCAGCTCATTGCAACCTCTGCCTCCCAGGTTCCATCAATCCTCCTACCTCGGCATCTCAAGTAGCCGGGAGCACAGGCATGTGCCAACATGTCTGGCTAATTTTTGTATTTTTTGATAGAGACAGGGTTTCACCATGTTGGCCACTCCTGACCTCAAGTGATCCACTGGCCCGAGTCTCCTAAAGTGCTGGAATGACAGGCATGAGCCACCACAGTGCCCAGTCCCAAGACTCTTTTAATGAATGATTTAATTAGGTGAAGGGGTTGCAAAAAGCCTTGTATCTTTTTAATTTTTTTTTTTTAGTGCTTTACTAAGATTATGCCACAGAAGAAAGCTCACATGAAAAAGCGAGTGTGAGCTCACTAAAGGCACTAGAGCCAGAGACTTGGACACGATTTTAACACGGGAGGAAAGAAAGGAGCTCAGGAATTTTAAAAGGAACACACACACACATACACAAACACATATACACACACACAAATATATATTTTTCTCCCCTACATTTGGTATGTGATAGATGGTAAGGAAAAAGAAATATTCCCCCATCTTTAAGTGGAAGAAATATTGTGTCACTCATTTCTGATCAACAGTGACCTAAAGAGACTACTTACAAAATTATTGGGCTAATCTGACCTCTGAAGATTCAACAGCCACAGCACTGTCCCACTATCATCTCCACCAAAATAAAAAAAGATAAATTTATATTCTATGTTAGGATGAGTAATGGTCCCCCAAAGGTAGCCACATCCTATTTCCTGAACCTGTCGAAGTTATTTTATAGGGCTAAAGGGAATATGCAGATGTGACTAAATTAAGGATTTTGAGATAGGGAGATTTCCCTGATTATCTGGATGGGGCGTAAATATAATCCCAAGTGTCTGCAGAAGAAAGCAGCAGAGGAAGCTTTAAGGACAGCAGCAGTCAAGGCAATATGAAGATGGAAACAAGATGCTAAACTGAAGCCTTTGAAGATGGAGGAAGAGGCCAGGAGCCAAGGAATGCAAAGAATGAAGCTCTAGAAGCTGGAAAAGGAAAGGAAAAGAATTTTCCCTTCGAGTCTCCTGAGAATGCAAGCCTGTGCTGAAACCTTGATTTTGGCCCAGTGAAACTGACTTCATTCTTTTGACCTTCCAGTCCTGAAGGAGAATAAATGTGTGTTGTTTTAAGCCACTGAGTTTGTGGTAATTTGCTATATGTGCCAGAGTAAACTAATCCACATACATTAAAATTGAAAAATAACTTTTGTCCTGAAAATCACCTTAAAGAGAGTGAAAATTCAAAAAACATCCTAAAACACTCACAATATATCTAGATGAAAAAAGACACATATCTAAAATATGCAAAGAATTCTTATGAAATAATACAAAGACAAACCACCAATAATAAAGTGAACAAAAACAAAGGTATTTCAAGAATGACTCCTAAATATATAAAAGAGGTTCAACATCATTATTCATCACAGACATGAAAATTAAAACCACAGTAAATTTCATTTTACACCCATTGTTGGTATGTAGAACAACTATAATTCACCCACCCTGCTAGGGAGAATGTATATTGTTACAACCACTTTTGAGTGTAGCTTGAGCACATACCATATTTAACCTAAAAATTTAACTCCCAGGTATATACCTTAGAGAAATACTTGTGCATGTGCACTAGAAGCTACATACAGTTTTACTCATCTTGTTAATAATATTCATAAAAGCATTGAAAACAATCTAAAACCGATCAATACTAGAAAGGATCAATGTTCTAGGACCTTCACACAATGCATTAACATATACTTGGAAAATGAATGAACTATAATTATACATGTCAACGGGGTTGAATCTCGAAAACATAGCTGAATGAAAAAAGAAAGTCATAGAATACACACAGTATGATTCTAATGTGTTCCAAAATAGAGAAAAGCAAGCATAGATGTATACAGATATATTTAGTTCTATTTTTAAGAGATCCATCCTATGGAAAAAAGCTAGGGAATGATTTCCTTAAAACTCATGCTACAGGTTAACTCTATAGGGAAGAGATAAGTATGCGATCAGGGTAGAGCACTCAGGAAAATGCAGTCACTGATAATGTTTTATTTCTTAAGTTGAACAGAACACTCTGAAAGCAGTAAGAGGAAAATGCATTAAGTTGGCTAGCGTTTGCTGAAGACACACTGAATTACTTTCTAGAACAACTGAGTGGTCCCTTCCAAGTTGTCTCTTCCCATCCAGTCTCCCAGGAAACATGCTGAAATACAGATTCCTGAGCCCCAACTCTAATCCACTGAATTAGATTCTCTGGGGCTGGCATTCAAGAATGACATAGGTCATGTCAACATACATTCAATTATGACTCTATAGGGGGCTATAAGTCTTAAGAGGGAAGGGATATATATGTCTCTTTCAGTGTTAAATTTGTGGCTCATATGCACCAATGTTTCCTACTCTTTAAATTGTACCAATATTATATATACTCTTTCATTTGCATAATAGGCATAATTCAAAATTTTTATCTAAAACATTTAATGATGCAACTCACTAGAAGTGTTCTAATAGGAAATCAGATGCCATTTCCAAGATCTATATTACCATTTTAACAGTTATTATCAATTGTTCATAAAGCTATGGGTCTTTTACTGCATATAAGATCACATACAATATGCATACGTTGAGTATCATTTACAATATATTAATTCAAACAGATTTAAAAGATTTACCATGTTGGTGAATAAACATTTCGATGTATTTAAAAAGTTGACTTTGAAAATATGCATTCTTTATTCTCTTTAGACATTTAATGCCTTGCGATAATAAGCTGTTTATTTTTCCAATATTTTGCTCTTTAATCCAAGCCAAATTTTAAAATTCCTCAAAACGAGATTAAAAGTTACACATTCCAACACTGAAAAAAATTTCAGAGGAAACCCTGATAAGATTTAGAATTTAAACTGTTCTTTATTTTTTTCTCAGTATACAGAGTCACTAGCTACTTACTGTTTTTCTGAGAAATAGTTCTTAAGATGAGTTGCAGCTGTGATAATGTGGTCATTTAGATTAATAAAACCCCTGAGGGATGACTAGATTCAGAGACAGATTTAACAACTGAAGAGTGTAGGATTTTATATCCAACTAAATAGTTGCACCTTTAGGAAGAAAAACAAAGTGGTCTCTCTCTTCAAGTTTCTAGAATTTCCTGCTGATCAGGGTTTTGCAGTGGGAAGGAAAGGAGGAGCTGAAGTTGCAGGAATGTACAAAAGCTAACTCTCCATAAAATTAACTGCCAGGGTGCCAGCTATCAGGCAGTAGAGATTTTCCACAGAAAACACCCTGAAAGAAATAAAAGGACAATGCATGGAGTTGGCTGGAGTTTAATGAAAACAATGTGAATTTCTTCATGGAACAACTGAGTCATCTCTTCCTGGTTGTCTTTTCCTATCCAGTCTCCTAGGAAACATGTTGAAAATGCAGATTACGGAGCCCCCACTCTGATCCACTGTATCAGATTCTCTAGGGTAGTATCCAAAAAATGATCTAGGTCATGTCAACATACATTCAAATATGAGACTCTACAAGGAAAGATAAGCCTTAAGAGGATGGGGATGTATCTACCTCTTTTGGTATTAAATCCAGAGCCAAAATGCACCAGGATGCTCACAGGGCTGTTTACAACCTATGCCTTTCTGACCAATCACATCAATGCCATGCTGGTAAAAAATATTCTAAATGTTACCATGTCATTTACATCCTGAATGCCAACACAGTGGGTGGCAGCCATGTTTAAAAAAGTATTCAATAAATACATTTTTTAAAAATCAGAAAAATAACCTTTAAAAAGATATCATATCAAATATTGTTTCGGTATAAAATCTAAAACCCATTACTCCTTTGAAAAGTGCACTTTTAAATAAATAACATCAATTTGCCCAAAATCCAAAACTCAATTTACTTTCTTACTCTTTCAGTCCTCCTTCTGAAAGTACTGGAAAACTTGAGGACATAGAAAAAAAAAATGGTTTTGAAACCGGATTTGCTGTTCAGAAAATAACAGCAACGCCACTGAGATGTGGAAATGGGAACCCAGACGGGAAGAAAGAGTATGATTGGATTCTGTATTTCTAGAAACTAGGATTTATGAGGCAGAAACACAGAAGAAAAGGGATAAATTGAGGCCACTGGTTCTTCCTTTTGCCTGGCTACATGTTAGACTCACCTAGGGAGCTCTTTAAAAGACACCAGCATCTGACCCTACCCTGGATTTAACTGATCTTGGATGGAACCCTGCAATCATATTAAAAAGCTTCAAAGATTTTAATGTGCAGAAAAGGCTGAAAACCAGTTGTAGACAAATTAAAAATTCGGTTGTGCTCTACCATAAAAATACATTACAAAATCCTATGGAGATTTTGAAGAGTTCAAATGCTAGACTGGTCTCCAGATCTGCTGAATTAATCTCCAGGGAAAAACCTGGGAATGGTCCTGTCAGCTTAAGCTGTAAAAGCAAAATATTATAGACAGGGTGGCTTGAAA